ATCCTCACACAGTGGATTGACCCATCTGGAGCCTCCCTCCCACCCAGTAGTTTATAGAAGTCAAGGGGAACAAGAGAAAGGAAGTCTCTTTCAGTCTCCTAATCAACTTCCTCTGCTTAATGAACTGTCCTGCTGGGGGAAAGAATGTCACTGTAAACTTGTTCATCTGTATCTATATGTCCTAAATCAGGGGTCCTCAGACTTTTTAAACAGAGGGCCAGGTCACAGTCCCTCAAACTGTTGGGGGGCCAGATTATAATGTGAAAAAAGCATGAATGAATTCCTATGCACACTGCACATATCTTATTTGTAGTGCAAAAAAACACTTAAAATTGTTCTTCATTTTAATTATTGTATTGTTTTTAGTATTTCAATGGGAAGTGTGGGTCTGCTTTTGGGTTGTTTGGATTGTTTTTGTTATTGTGTGCTTTCAAGTCATTTTAGGCTTAGGTTGATCCTGAGCGAGGGCCGGGTAAATGACCTTGGAGGGCTGTATCTGGCCCCCGGGTCTTAGTTTGAGGACCCCTGTCCTAAATGTTTCAAAGCCACAGTTTGATGGAGAGCACTTCCCTCCCAATGGTTTCTTTCTAGGACTTTTTTTTTTGTCATGTCAGGAGCGACTTGAGAAACTGCAAGTCGCTTCTGGTGTGAAAGAATTGGACGTCTGCAAGGATGTTGCCCAGGGGACGCCCGGATGATTTGATGCTTTTATTATCCTTGTGGGAGGCTTCTCTCATGTCCCCGCATGAGAAGCTGGAGCTGATAGAGGGAGCTCATCCGCCTCTCCCCGGATTTGAACCTGCAACCTGTCGGTCTTCAGTCCTGCCGGCACAGGGGTTTAACCCACTACGCCACCGGGGGCTCCCCTTTCTAGGACGACAAGTCCTCTTGTTGGAGGCAGGTTATGGGGGATGTAGTCTGTTTCTCCCCTTAGTTTGGGGTTTTTGCATGTTTCCGTGGGAGAGAATTTCTTCCAGAAAGGTTTACATCTTAGCACCTGATTATGTTATAAATAACTCCCTCCCCAGCTGTGAAGAAAAGCAAATGCAGATGCAAACTTTTTCTACATCTGCGATTCCATTTCCCCCTCTGTGCCCTTTGATGGTGGCTCCATCTTAGTTCCCTGCAATTCTCAAATCAAAAGAGATCTCTGACGTCTGTTGACCCCCCTCTGGCGCACTGACATAATGTTGGCCGTGGAGTCAGACATATGGAAGTTTCCACATCTGTTGGGCCCTGGGATCTTTCTCTTTGGTCCTAATGTAAAACAAATGTGAGGCCCTCTGCCTCCTGCCTATGTTATAAAGAAGCAAGTCCACAGCTTACTGTAAAAACAACAAACGCAATCTCTATGTTGCATGCTGTGTGCAAGGCAGCCCTGAAAAGAAAAATATTTAAGTACAATAAAATGCCTTGCGTGGCTCATCACTGGGGAATCATTGCTGGGTGACGTATAAACTGTTCAAAATCAGGGCCTAGAATGGGGTGGGGATAGAAATGATGATTTCACTTATAATCTCCTGTGGTGCGAACAAGATGAATACTTCTATTCTGTTCAGCTGCACGCAACCCAGTCATATATACTGATCTCTGGAATGTTACCTTTTAAAAACCAGTTTGGATGAGAGATTCTGGGTATTGCACAATGCTTCCAAGCGTCTGGGAAACATAAGACAAAAGACCACAAGGACCAGCTTAGGGTTGTCACTTGGCTTTGATCTGTGTCTTTATTCAATGTGTTGTCAATGGCCGGAACCACTGGATTGCTGTGAGTTTTCCAGGCTGTATGGCCATATTCCAGAAGCATTCTCTCCTGACATTTCACCCACATCTATAACAGGCATCCTCAGAGGTTGTGAGATCTGTTGGAAACTAGGCAAGTGGGGTTTATATATCTGTGGAATGTCCAGAGTGGGAGAAAGAACTCCTATCTGTTAGAGGCAGGTGTGAATGTTGCAATTGGTCACCTTGATTAACATTGAATAGCTTTGCAGTTTCAAAGCCTGGCTGTTTCCTGGCTGGGAAAATCTTTCATTGGGAGGTATTAGCTGGTCCTGATTGTTTCTTGTCTGAAATTCCAATTTTCTGAGTATTGTTCTTTATTTACTGTCCTGATTTTAGAGTTTTTTTTATTACTGGTAGCCAGATTTTGCTCATTTTATGGTTTCCTCTTTTCTATTGAAATTGTCCACATGCTTGTGAATTTCAGTGGCCTCTCTGTGTGGTCTTACATGGAAGTTGTTTGAGTGGTCCAGTATTTCAATGTTCTCAAATAATATGCTGTGCCCTGGTTGGTTCATCAAGTTCTGAGAGTTGGTTCATCAAGTTCTGAGGAAAGTTCTGAGAGTGCCTTGGACTGTGAGAAAAAAGTTATATTTTGTATGGCAAGTCCAGAATACCCCAGCTAGCTGTTCCAAAAGTAAACTTTTCAAAGTTTGTGCTCACTTGTAACCCAGTTTTATTGATTTTTTGCCAGTGTCAAAACTGGTGTTTCTGAGAAGCAAAATTTATTTACAGATATTTTAAAAGTCAAATGTAAGATGGGCATGTGAAAGATTGCTACCCAACAGTTATTTAAATCTCATAATTTCAAGATGTCATGTAACATTGTCTCTTATCCCTTGGGTTCAAGTTCAATGCAAACTGTTTCGCAATCACACTTACTGCTGTTAGTTGCTGTCAAGTTCACTTTGACTAATGGTGACCTTGTTAAAGTACACAGATGTTAACAGGCCTTTGAGGACCCATTTTACAAGGCCCATTCACACTGAACCATGTGCTGGGTTTTCCTTTTGTTTTTCCTTTTAAAAAATAGTTGTTGTTTGTACCTGGCTTTAATTTTGTTATATATTTTGATCACTTTATAGTTTTTGTATTTCATTAATTTAAAACTTGAAAAGTCTTGAAAATCCTCTCAAGTTTGCAACTGGGAAAAACCTCTGTTCTCTTTAGAAATCTGGAGGTCCTCTAGCATGACTAATCCACAAAAGTCAAAACAACATATGTGGAGGTGTGACTGTAGGCCGTGGCAGCGCAGTGGGTTAAAACCGTTAAGTTGCAGAACTTGCTGATTGGAAGGTAGGCAGTTCGAATCCATGGACAGGTTGAGCTCCTATTGTTAGTCCCAGCTTCTACCAACCTAGCAGTTCAAAACACAGAGGCGGCCCTAGGTAATTTTCAACGGTAAGCAAACAGTATTTCCCCTCCCCCCCCCCCAACCAATCACTGATATATATTTTCTGTTCGTCGTGGGAGTTCTGTGTGCCATATTTGGTTCAGTTTCATCATTGGTGGAGTTCAGAATGCTCTTTGATTGTAGGTGAACTATACATCCCATATACAACTATACAACTATACAACTCGCATTTGTCAAGGTCTATTTTTCCCCAAGAGTGCCTCAAGAGCGCCCTTGGGCAAAATCAACTATACTGCAAATGCTTACTTTGCGTAATGGGTTGAGCCGCCCCTGTCAAAACATGTAAATATGAGTAGATACGCAGTTCAAATCCATGGACAGGTTGAGCTCCAGCTTCTACCAACCTAGCAGTTCAAAAACATGCAAATGTGAGTAGATCCATAGGTACCTTTGGCAGGAAGGTAATGGTGCTCCATGCAGTCATGCTGGCCACATGACCTAGGAAGCATCTACAGACAATGCCGCTCTTCGGCTTTGAAATGGAGATGAGCATCACCCCCCAGAGTTGGACACAAATAGACTTAATGTCAAAGGGAAACCTTTTAGACTGTAGTTTAATAGTGAACTGGTGGACCAAAGCCTCACAATCTAAGTCCAGCCTCAAAAATGTTTGACATCTTCCATAGTTTGAAGCACAGTTCCCATGATCCATTTCAATCAGGGGTTATACGAGTTGTAGTCCAAAACATCTGGAGAGTACCAGGTTACCCATGTCTGCTCAGATTTTGGGATTTTAACTGGGTTGCATGGGAGAGTGATGCTACTCATATGGTCCGTTTTGCTAAGTGGCCACCTGTAGATCCATCCCTGGATTAAAATATTTGAAAAGCACATGGATCCTTCAAAAAAGGAAATATTTTGGGGGTGAATGCCGTTTTCCTGCTTCTTGGCAGGGGGTTGGACTGGATGGCCCACGAGGTCTCTTCCAAGATGTTTCACTGCCATATCAATAAATGGGAAGCAATGGATAGGACTGTATTGCCACTGCAGTGTCATATTTACCCCAGAAGATGTCAGGCTAAGTTTATAACTCACCAGCTACAAACCAATCAGAGCAAAAACAAATGAGAGGAAGTATCGAACTCCATGCATGAAATGTCATTACACGGACTGGTAGGCATGCTTTGATGTTCCACATATATCCCACATTTAGTCTAAGCAGAACACTTTCAGGAAAAAACACACTCAAAGATTTCCTTTGGGGTTTTTTGCACTATAACTTCCAGAACCACTTAGCTGATCTGGTCATTGGGGGATTCTGGGGGCTATAGTACAAAAAGTAACTTGGCAAACCTTAATCTCTTCTGCAAGTCATTCAAAGGATCATGGAGATATTTGTGCAAATATGTCTTTTATTTTTCTACCATTTTGTGGATCTGAAGAAGAGATACTTCAGAGGCACTTGGGGAAATCATTGTGGATAATATGGGTGGCAGTAGATGAGAATTGCAATTCTTTTATCTTTCTTATCCCTTCTTACCAGAATAAAGCATCAAACATCTATTAAAAAGAGAAAGGTGAAATAGCTGCTCGGAATCTTTTGACTGGCAATGGTAAGTTATATTTATCTGGAAGGAATCCCTTGTGAATGATGATCAAGGCCTGCTGTCTATCCAGTAATCAATACCAGACTTTGCTGTTTGTTTACTTTGAAAAAGTTACTCAGATAAGCTTCAGCACGTTGTTTCCTCTTAAATCAGAATGATCAGGCTTCATTGAAAGGGTCTCATCCTTTGAGGGCAATCGGAAAAGAACAATTTTTCTAGAACAAGGTTAGAAATCAAAAATTTTCCAGTGCTGTGTCTTTTGTTTGGAGTATTTTATTTTAATAAGGACCACTTAATTTGCTCTTTGGCAGACTGAAGGACCTGTGAACAGAAAGAAAAAGAGACCGCAATGAGAACAATTTTCCATTCCTACCACCTCTAGTGTTTTGCTCAAGGACAAGGCACATCCTAGAGCCAAGTAAAGTTACTTCGTGGACTACAAGTCCTAGGATCCTTGGGAGTTGTAGTCAAAACAAAAACTTTTCAAGAGTCTGCATTCACCCCACCTTTCTCAAAAATCTTTGTGAAATTGTTTTTAGATTTTGTGCTGAATTTCTTTCTAAATTTTGGGTTGTTGTGAGTTTTCCGGGCTGATGTTTCAGAAGCATTCTCTCCTGACGTTTCTCCTGCATCTGTGGCAGGCATCCTCAGAGGTTGTGAGGTCTGTTGGAAACTAGGAAAATTGGGTTTGTATATCTGTGGAATGTCCAAGGTGGGAGAAAGAACTCTTGTCTGTTGGAGGTAGGTGTGAATGTTTCAATTGGCCACCTTGATTAGCATTTAATGGCCTAGCAGTTTCAAGGTCTGGCTTCTTACTGCCTGGGGGAATTCTTTGTTGGGAAGTTCTAAATTTTGTTTGTTCTGAATTTTGTTTTTTACATTTCCTTGAATGCCTGTTGGCACAAAGGTACTCTAAAATACTTCAAATTATTTAATTACAGACTTAATAATGTTTGGAGTCAACTCATTCAGAACAATGTTAGTCATATTTACCTGTCCAATTGATTTTAATATGTGTACGCAAATGTATAATAACTGATTCCAAACCAATATGTTCATAATCTCCAACTATAGAGGGGGCAAGAACAAAAAGATCAGTGAAAAATAGGCCTCTTCTACACTGCCATATAAAATCCAGATTATCTGCTTTGAACTGGATTATATGGCAGTGTTGACTCATATAATCCAGTTCAAAGCAGATAATGTGAATTATCTGATTTGATAATTTGGATTATATGGCAATGTAGAAGGGACCTTAGTGAGCCCTGATTCAAACTAAATCCTTGAAGGAGATGAGTTAATTTGGTTGTGTCATTCAAGGACATTTAAGAGTGCATCTTCATAGTAGAATTAATACAGCCTGCACATTACTTTAACTGCTATCTCTCAATTCTATGGAACCATAGTATGCCAACCAAATTCGATATGGCTGTTGAGACAGTTTTAACTAAAGGATTTTAACATCAAGATAAGTGATTTTAATGTTTTTGTGTGTGTATAGTCAAGTATGTTTTGGCATTGAATGTTTGCTGTTTATATGTTGTGCTCCACCCTGTGTCCCCTTCGGGGTGAGAAGGCCGGAATATAAATGCTTTAAATAAATAAATAAATAAATTTCCAAGACATTTATCCTTCATTGCCAAAACTGTTGGTTCCTCACCAAATGACAAATCCCATTATTTCACAGTATTGAGCCATGGCAGTTAAAGTGATATCAAACTGAATTAATTCTACAGTGTAGATAATACCCCAGGTCAGCCAGATGAACTTGCTTTTCAATCAGAATGGACACTAGGTGGCAGGTATGTCTTTTGATTACTAAAATGGAGAATGTATAAAAACTCACTGAATGCAAAATAAGAATATTTGCAAATTGAAGGAGGCTGTGGAGACCTATGTATAAGAAGATGCCAATCTTACTCTTCAGAGTTGTCCGGTATGTTTTCTGTTAAACTGAGATGATGCAATTCAGGTTTTGTACAGCTGTTGGTAACCAAGCAGGTTTATTAACAGGATTATATATAGCTCCTAAGCAGGTATTTTCTTTAGATTGGGATGGGTCTAGAAGTCAATGTTCTGCCCAAGGACACAGAATCCAAAATGACCACAACTCCTGGAAATGGCTGGAAGTTTTGAAATATTGGTCAGTGTAACTAGAATGGCCTTGAATAAAGTAAAGTTGGCCCTGCACATTTGCAGGTTTCACGTTTGTGGATTTGATTAATATGGTCCTTACGAATCTCTAGGTCCTTTGGTGTGACCCAGAGATTCCTCAGAGTATTGTCGAAGGCTTTCATGGCTGTAATCACTGGGTTGTTGTAGGTTTTTCGGGCTGTATGGCCATGTTCTAGAAGTATTTGGATAATTTTAATCAGAAGCTGGACGACCATCTGTTGGGGGTGCATTTAAGGTGGTTTTCCTGCTTCTTGACAGGGGGTTGGACTAGATGGCCCAAGAGGTCTCTTCCAGCTCTAGGATTCTATGATTCTAAAGTCAGCAGGACCCACAGTCAATGTTGGAGTGAAACCAGTGGAAACACCATTAATAAGAGTGAAGAAACCATCTGCCATCTCCCTCAAAGTTCCCTGTTCTCTTTGATTTAAGCTACCATCCTCACAACAGTGATTGGTAGGGACTGCTGTGATTTGCCCAGAAACGATATAGTAATGAGCTATGATAATGCAGAGTATTTAGTACTGGCTTCCTCTTGAATGGGAAACAAAGAGCCATTGACTGTACAAAAGACCTACTCCAGATAGAGATGTTGAAACTGGCTTATTGATGCAAGTCACCCTATGTTTCTGAATCTTCCTCCCTCCCTCCTTCCTTTTCCTGGGAAACATGGTATGAGAAATGTATTGTCGAAGGCTTTCATGGCTGTAATCACTGGGTTGTTGTAGGTTTTTCGGGCTGTATGGCCATGTTCTAAAAGTATTCTCTCCTGACGTTTTGCTTGCATCTATGGCAGGCATCCTCAGAGGTTGTGAGGATGCCTGCCATAAATACAGGCAAAAAGTCAGGAGAGAATGCTTCTAGAACATGGCCATACAGCCCGAAAAACCTACAACAACCCAGTTCCCTCAGATTTTTTTTATTCATGGTGGTTCTACTTTTGTGGGGGTTCGGCATCCCTAACCTCAGTGAATGTGGAGGACTGACTATAGTTTATAGGGAGACAACTTTAAAAATGGAAGATAAGGAGAGGGGAATGTTGCTACTGCCTACATTCTCTACATATTTCAGCCTTGTTGGTCTGCATAGTATCTAATTACAGACAGTTATCTCAGGTTTCTCTCCAGAGAATCTACTGCAGTCATTTTCTTTCATATTCAGTTTCTGTTGTTTGGATGCATGCATGAACTCACCTCACTGCTGCATGCCAATGACATTGATGTCTATTGCAAATACATACATTAGAGTCCTATATGTTTGTTCTTAAGTCAAATTTGTACGTAAGTCATTTTTAAGTGTAACTCCATCATCCCCCCCCCCCCCATCTCTCTCTCTATAAAACTAAAGTTTCCCTTGACATTAAGTCTAGTCGAAACCAATTCTGGGAGGTGGTGCTCATCTCCACTTCTAAGCTGAAGAGCCGGCATTGTCCATAGATGCCTCCAAGGTCATGTGGACAGCATGATTACATGGAGTGCTGTTACCTTCCCACCTAAGCAGTACCTATTGATCTACTCACATTTGCATGCTTTCAAACTGCTAGGTTGGCAGAAGCTGGGGCTACCAAAGGGAGCTCACCCCATCCCATGGATTCAAACCGTTGACCTTCTGGTCAGCAAGTTCTGCACCTGAGCGGTCGCTTCTCTCTCTCTCCCCCTCTCTCTCTAATATAGATATATATAAGAGGTTTAGCACCCCTGTGCTTTTTGTTTTGCTGTCTTGGCCCTGTTCAGAAGATTTCGTCTCACTTTCTGTCCTTGGATTTTGAAAAAAAATGGCTTGTTGTAGAAAAAAGGATTGGGGAGAAAGCATCAGTGGAGACACCGTTTCCCCATAATAACTCTTTCAGAAGAGAATTCCCCTTCCGAGGGATAGATTTCTCTCACTTCATGTTGTCTCACCCCCGTTTGTAACTATGAGTCATTTATAAGTCAGATGTTTGTAACTCAGGGACTGCCTGTATTGAAAAGAATACTTGATTTGCTAGCTGAAACCCTGAACCAGGTCACTCATTACGTCAACATTTTGCTGGAAATCTCACTTGTTAAGTATTCCAGATTATAAAATTCTGCCACTGAATGAGAGAAAGTAAACTATCTGCACTAGACAAACTACAGTGGAATTCAGTAAACTTACCTGAGTGACACTGTGCTCTGATAAAGAGGGGTCATCCACCTAAAATGAAGATAGAAAAAGTCAGAATAGTTCAAAGGCATTATGGTTAGTGGATAGATTCTTTGCATTTCCAGATGAAATATAAACATGGGGCGGATTCCTGCTTGCAACACACCAGCTGAACTCAGTAGGGCATTAATTCATCATGACGAATCCCAATGAATCAACTCTAAATATGACGTAAGTGAGTTCAATCCATTGTTCTTCCGAAGGCATGAGTATCCCAGTAGGAGTTTCTTCCTTGAGAAAGTTGGAGATTCACTTCAGTGGCTGTGTGCCAAAGATGACGAAAGGTTGCATCCAGTGTGTGATGTCAAAACTGGTTCTTTCAGGTTCCTCTTTAAAACTGCACTGCAGATAGCACACTCTGAAACATATGCATGCCATGTCATGCCACACCACTGAACATATACACACATGCTTCTGTATATTTTGGATCCCAAATGTGAATTATATATGTTATGCATTGGGTGCCTTTCCCCCAAAATTCTTATTTTTAAAATGTCAAATTACAGGTGCATCTCATCCTCAAAGTGTAGAATGAGCAACAAAAGCAACCCCTTTCTGATGAACTTTGTAAAATGGGATAATAATCGTCGCCCTTTTCTTTGATTTACTGTGATCTCCTACATGGATTGGCCTCTGACAATGCTGCACTCTCCCTTGAACTTTGGTGAGACTTTAACTGGAAGGGTGAGGTGGTTGGGAACTGGTGATAGTTTTAAGCAGTGGCCTTATATCGGGTCGGACCAGTGCTTCATTCAGGTGCCTCTAGTCTAATCTACTCTCCAAGATTTCAGAAAATTGCCTTTATCCGTTTCTCATGACACCAAACTTGGGATGTTCTCCATGCAAAGTTCTTCCAACAGCCAGTGAGAGACGTGTCCCAGCCACAGTTAGGAAATGTCACTTCATTGCACCACAATTCACAAAATCCTACTGATCATATGGAATTCTAGGAATTATGGTCCAATCAAGTACCGTCTGCATTTGTAAAAGTAACCTGCTAGGTCTTTCACTGAGGCTTACTGACATAACTCCATGACCTCGGCAACAATTAAACTTGTGGACTTTCGAATGTAAGATTTCACTGTATCAAACCGAATATCCATCTATTCCAACATCTTGTTTTCTGTAGTGTTTACTAGGAAGCTTTTGGCAAACAGGAAGTACATGAGGACAGTAACCCGCAGGAGCCCCTAGTGGCGCAATGGGTTAAACCCTTGGGCCAGCAGGACTGCCGACCGAAAGGTCAGAGGTTCAAATCCGGGGAGCAGGCTGAGCTCCTGTCTATCAGCTCCAGCTTCTCATGTAGGAACATGAGAGAAACCTCCCACAGGATGGTACAACATCCAGGCAACGTCCTTGTAGACAGCCAATTCTCTCATACCAGAAGCGACTTGTAGTTTCTCAAGTCGCTCCTGAAACAAAAAAAAAGTAATCAGCACATGCTCTTGTATCCCATCAAGTCGTAATTCAGGAGTGTGCTGCCTCTTATTTTAGCATCTACTTATAGTTGTTATTACTAGTCACCACTGATAGACTTCTCCCCAATGTATTATCAAGTGCATTATACTTTTAGGTGCTTAAACTGATCACTAAAGTATATAGTTTAACTACGGCCTGATTGGAATGGATTAGAAGTCCAGTGTGACCTCCATATTCTCAGGGATATGTTTCCAGATATGCAAAACTGTGAATGATAACAGTGAATCGTGTTGAGATGAAGGACTTCTGGATCAAGAATACTGTAAAATTGTGAAGAAGACCTAAAATGACTAGAGAGGACATAGATAAATAAAACTGTGGATACTGGTCCCACCAGTTCAGGATTTTTATGGTGTATTGCTGGACTCCACAGATTTTGGAGGCTCAGGCAGAAGATTTATACCGTGTGATGGTAGCATTGAATTTTTGCTGTTCTTGTTGTAAACTGCTGTGAGTTGCCTAAGGGCTGAGAACAGCGGTATACAAATAAAGTAAGTAAGTAAGTAAATAAATAAATAAATAAATTTATGGTCCACATAAGTGGACCTCAGATGGTTGCCCAAGTAAACACATTTTAAATTCTTAATAATAACAGGATTTTTTTTGCAAAGGATACACATTTTGGTAACCCGAATGAAGGGTCCAGTTCCACTCAATTTTTACCACTCTCAATGTTCTTGTTTTAGACCTTGTTAGAATTACTTTGTAAATACAGCTCCCAGAACTCTCCAGCCAGCATAGCCGTGGGGATTCTGGAGGTTGCAATGTCAAAAATAATTTTTCCTAGAAGATGTCACAAGAAAAGCCATGGAGAAACTGGCGACAATTCCAGAACAGAGGCTACGAATAAGCAGGACAATTTCGGCCCAGCCAGCAGCCATGCCACACTAGAACCACATGCGTAGAAGGAAATCATCTCTTACTCCTGCTTCCTGTTTGTGAGAACATTTATCTATTTTTGGAACATCTCAGGCAAAATTTCACTGTGCTCTGAATTGCCCACGATGTAATCAAGGAGAACAAAGCCATAAGGCGCAGGCTCGGGGACTGTCTGGGGCGGAAAGAGATTCAGGAGGAAGATTGAAAGGATAGATTACATGTAAAATGTGCAGACGAATTCGAAATAAAACAACTAAAGAATAAGAGAATAACTCACTCTGAAATTTAACTTCTGGATGACTTGCTGAGGATCACTTTCTAAAATCACACTAAAACATGAAAAGAAAGATAATTTAAGCATATTGAAAAGAGAGAATCTATATTTTTACTAATGGGCCGATTTACATATGACTTTTTGGAGGATTGTTATGAGTTTTTCAGGCTGTATGGCCATGTTCCAGAAGCATTATCTCCTGACATTTCACCTGTGCCTATGTCAGTCATCCTCAGAGGTTGTGAGGTCTGTTGGATACTAAGAAAATTGGGTTTATATATCTGTGGAATGTCCAGGGTGGGAGAAAGAACTCTTGTCTGTTTGAGGCAGGTGTGAATGTTTCAATTGGCTAGCTTGATTGGCATTTAATGGCCTAGCAGTTTTAAGGTCTGGGAGGTGATTAGCTGGCCCTGATTGTTTCTTGTCTTGAATTCCCCTGTTTTTTAGTGTTGTTATTTATTTACTGTTCTGATTGTAGAGTTTTTAAAAATACTGATAGCTAATCATATTCATGGTTTCCTCCTTTCTGTTAAAATTGACCACATGCCCCCCCCCTTTTTTTATTGCTCAGGAATTACGGAATTGTTTATTCAGCTGTTTCAAAGTATCCAGATGTCTTTCCTTATGGAAATGATTATATGGCAGAGCAACTGGATTTCCCCTAATGATCAGAAGGCACTCTTTTGTTTGTGTGCGCTTTTAAAAAAGAAGTGTCAACTAATAAGGTCAGGGTTGTAAAAATGGTACAAGCTCCTATTGTCCAGTGACTATGCCTTCAAAAGGGATGAATGGTAGTATAAACCTCTCATGTGGTTTTGTGGTATTTATTTTACTTGCATTAAAAAAACTTTTTATTTAATTCATGAGACAGTGAATGTATTTAAGCAGTTAGCAAAGTTCTTCAAACACAAAAGAGTAAAGTTTGTCAGTGCCTGGAATGCAGCCATACCCTGAGAATAACACTGTCTAACAAAATAACACTGTGTAACAAAAATTGGAAAAAATTCTGTTCCTGGTTTGAAAGTGTTATTTCCTGTTTAACTGTGTGTTACTTACTTTGAAAGTAGTTGTTACACTCCAGAAACTTCGTTTTTGTGGCTGCTGCAAACTATGTTGAATTGGTTGAGACTCTATGAGATATTCATAAAAAAACTATAGCAAAATGTGCCACAGGATGTCCCACAAAAACAAAGCTTTTGCAGTTTTATAAACCTTTCCTATGATTTTATGATAGAACCAATTAGAAAATGATGTTTATAACCCAGGAATAAAAATTGTGTTACATAGTGTAATGGAAGCAATGTTTCAACAGCAATTCTTTTTCAAACAGAAAGGCTTTCTTTTCTTCCAGAATTCTAGACTGAGCTATTGTCTACAACAGAAATGGGCAACTCCCAAGACAACAGAGAACTCCCCGATATTGAAAAGATATTGAGAGGTAGCTATATTAGTCATGCACCAAAATACAAAATCCATTAGCAGAGATACCTTTTGGGGGACAAACTCTAAAACATAAAATCATAAACTCATGTACATTGTGCAAACTTTTGAAGTTTCATTGTCTTCTTCATCAGGCAAAGATGTTAAAAATCTTATGGGAGAAACATCAGTCACAGGCCTACATTCTGTCTGAGATGTTGTGGGTTAAGAAAGCATTTGTTGGAATTCAATGACATTCTGCACAAGTTTATAGTCCTCAACAAGGAGACAGGCAGCTGAGTTAGTTGGCAGGTAAAACCCTTCCCAATTGCCCTCTTCGTCTGCCTCTCTTCCCTCTCTTTTTGCCTCCTGATTGTTAGACTGATATTTCTTAGGGACATCCCTTTTCTCAAATTTTAGCCACATAGCACGACCCTGAGTCCAGAGTATTAATCTGACTTTGCCCTTTTAGCCTTAATTTATCAACTACCTCTTGCACTTTACCATTAGCCCTTATTCGGGCAGTCGTATAACACAAGCCTTCTCTCGCCCCTCAACTCAGGAATGTCCATTATGCTCGGCTACTGTGTTATATGATGAATTATGTTTTTAATTATGTGTTATGATATCTTTAATTATGTGTTATGATGTTATAGATGCCCCTCACCTTAACTTGGCCGAGAGGAATTATTACCTGCATTTCATAGAATCTTAGTTGGAAGGGACCCCAGGTAGGAAGACACAATCCAAGCCCTCCCAGCAGATGGCCACACAGGATCAAAATCTTAGAGTTGGAAGGGATCTCAAAGGCCATCCAGCCCAACCCCATTCTGCCAAGCTGGAAGACACGATCCAAACCCTCTCAACAGACAGCCACACAGGCTCATAGAATCCGAGAATTGGAAGGGACACCCAAAGGCCATCCAACCCAATCCTCTTCTGCCAGGTAGGAAGACACAATCCAAGCCCTCCCAACAGATGGCCACAAAGAATCCTAGAGTTGGAAGGGACATCCAAAGGCCATCCAGCCCAACCCTCTTCTGCCAGGTAGGAAGACACAATCCAAACCCTCTCGACAGATGGCCACACAGGCTCATAGAATCCTAGAGTTGGAAGGAACACCCAATGGCCATCCAGCCCAACCCTCTTCTACCAGGTAGAAAACACAATCCAACAATTTGTGAAAACAGAAAAATTTTAACTCTGTTTGACTGGGCTTAGACCCCATGTAAACCGCCCCAAGTCTCTTTGGGGAGATGGTGGTGGGATACAAAAATAAAGTTGTTGTTGTTATTGTTGTTGTTGTTATGTGAGCATAGAAGGAGACAAGATGTCTGCTTCAGTGAGAGAGAGGAGGGGGGGGGGTTACGTTTCCTATATAGTGATGTTATTTACAACATTTCTACCCCGCATTTCTCACCCCGGAGGGGACTCAAGGCAGCTTTACATACAGGCAACAATTTGATGCCCTAAAACACAATGTACACTTAAATAAATATTAAAATAGAATTTAAAAGTACATAAAAACAATTAAAACATTTAAAAATATATTAAGAGTTAATTTCTAGGCTGTGTGGGGGCAGAAGGAAAGTTTGCCTATCCTGGAACACACTTATCAGTATCGCACTGAATTCAGTAAGTCTTACTTCTATGTAAGCAAACTGTGAACGTGTCTAGGAAAAACACATTTTGGATGAAAATAATGGCACTTTTTACATTGTGAACTGAATTCACAATTGACTCATTATTTTGCTTACTTTTAACTGTTTTTTCTTAAATCAACCAATTAATAAGATTGACATAATCACTGGACAATATCTATACTGTTTTTGCCTTAATTAGCTTGATGAGCTGTGGCACAGTTTTATAAATCTGGCTTTAAAACTGAAAGTGACATAATGAGGCAATCTGTTCCAATTTACCAAATTCAACAGTACAAAAGGCTTCTGGGGCAATACTGGTATATATGTTGAATTTGAATTATCTATCCTGAGCAATTCGTCTCTGACTCCATTATTGTGTTCACTCAGTTGCTCTTCTTCCCCAATAAATTGGATATTTTGCCTTTTATCTCCTGTCATATGAATCTCACCCGCCGTCAACGGTCTCATCCACCACAAGGAATACCCCATCCATATTCTCCATCAGGGCTCGTTTCTCCACATTCTTTCTAAATATAAGACAAAATGTGATAGTTATCAGTACCACTATTATGTTATCTACACCAGACATGGAGAATGTGTCGCCCTTTAGATGTTGTTGGACTATAACTCCCATCATCCCTCACCACTGGCTATGATGGTTAGGATTGATGAACAAATAACATTTGGCAGACTATTAGTTGTCCTAACTAATCCATGTTACAGTAAGTTGTAGCAGGACCAAGTGTGTGTGTATGTGTTGAAGAAAAACCTTATGATGGTAATTATTATGTGCAGCTGGTAATGTAGGTCAACCAGCAATCTTGGATCACGGGTATAACTGTATGGGTTTTTAGAATACAGTTCTGGAAAGCTTTTTCTCTGAGGACATCTATGCTCAAAGGCTTTGCTCTGAGGTGCAGGTTGGAGAGAAGCTGTTGCGCTGCTCTAAAGGAGGCTATGGTGGAATAGTTGTTTGCTCAAGATTTATGTTTGGCTTTCTCATTTGACTTAAGATGAAGATGCCTTATTTTGTGCTACTTACAAAGTCTATATAAGTTTCTTGCACAGTTTGCTTTTTGTATGCAACATTGCAAGTTTGTGTTTCATCTCTGCTATTAAGAGTAAAGATTTTTCTGTTTGTTTCTACTTGTCTGTATGTCTTGTGCATGGAACGTGGCTAAGATCCACTTGTTGCACAACAATCTATTCCAGAGGTCCTCAAATGAAGGCCCGAGGGCCGGATACAGCCCTCCAAAGTCACTTACTCGGCCCTCGCTCAGGGTCAACCAAAATCTAAAACGACTTGAAAGCACACAACAACAATCCTATCTCATCAGCCAAAAGCAGGTCCACACTTCCCAATGAAATACGAGTAAGTTTATATTTGTTAAAATTGTTCATTTTAATTATTGTATTGTTTTTCAGTGACTTTTGAATTACAAATAAGATATGTGCTGTGTGCATAGGAATTCATTCATGTTTCTTTCAAATTATAATCTGGCCTTCCAAAAGTTTGAGGGACTGTGACCTGGCCCTCTGTTTGAAAAGTTTGAGGACCCCTGATCTATTCTATAGATTTAAATCAGAGTCCTATTGAGCCTAGTTTTATGAAGGTTGAGCTAGGGACTACTAGGGAAAAACTGTCAGCATCTTACCAAACTATGACTCCCGGGTTCCTTTGTGAAAAACCATAATGATATAGAAAAATAATATAAATTTCATATTGTAGATCTGGACCACAAGGAGAAAGTAATGCATTTGAAGAAGAGAGGGGAAAAAGGGAATCCCGAGATGGAGAAGTTATAGATATACCCACAAATAGCATTTGCTTCCAGATTTAATATGTACTATACACAGAACTTAGAAACACTGCTTTTGGGGGGGAGATTGCAGCTCCAGAATCCCACTGCTAACATGGCACTAATAATTGGGGAATTCTGGGAGGAAAATATTATAAGTGTTTTGAGAAAGAAAATGGTGTATAGCCAATAAGAGACTTTTGCTGACATTATATATTTAGAGGTGCTGTTATGATGGGCACAGACCACTGAGAGGTTCTTTGTGCCAGTTTGCTAGAAGTGAATTAGAATTGAGGGCTGCTTGAACGCACAAAAGTTTCCAGTATTGCCAGTGGGGTGCAGGGGATTTGTCATATTCAGTGTAATTTGGCTTGCTTGCATGAGCCATCTGAAATACAGAGATTCTTTTCTGCAAAGTAATAGCTCTCTGATGGCAGCCAATCATGGTCTAGAAATGACATGGTTCTACTGATGGGTTATTGCAGATGAACAGACCAAATCGTTTTGTTATTGATATATATTTCAATTCTAAGGTTTTCGATACTAGCAAGATGATTTTTGATCTTCAGTAGGATTAGCTATGATACTCACCGCAGCATGTGGTTGAGGGTTTCAAAAAGACAACTGAGAACTGATGTTAGCATAAGCTAGAAAACAAGAAAGGCAAGAAAGTATGCTCAAATTAACAAAAAATAAATAAATGATGTATTGTGCTAAAAGGATACTTCCCCCTAACCATATGCTAGGTCAGTGGTTCTCAACATGGGGGTTGGGACCCCTGGGGGCGGGTTGCGAAGGGGTGTCAGAGGAGTCACCAAAGACCATCAGAAAAAGTATTTTCAGTTGGTCATGGGGGCTCTGTGTGGGAAGTTTGGCCCAATTCTATCGTTGGTGAGGTTCAGAATGCTCTTTGTAGGTGAACTATAATTCCAGAAACTACAACTCCTAAATGTCAAGTCTCTTTTCCCCAAATTCCACCAGTGTTCACATTTGGGCATATTTAGTATTTGTGCCAAGTTTGGTCCAGATTGATCATTGTTTGAGTCCACAGTGCTCTCTGGCTGTAGGTGAACTACAACTCCAAAACTCAAGGTCAGTGACTACCAAACCCTTACAGTATTTTCTGTTGGTCATGGGAGTTCTAAGTGGCAAGTCTGGTTCAATTCCATCATTGATGGAATTCAAAGTGCTCTTTGATTGTAGGTTAAGTATAAATCCTAGCAACTACAACTCCCAAAAGACAAAATCAACACACACTCACACACCCCAACCATACTAGTATTCAAATTTCGGCGTATTGGGCATTTCTGCCAAATTTGGTTCAGTGAATGAAAATACATCCTGCATATCAGATATTTGCACCACAATTCATAACAGTAGCAAAACTACAGTTAGGAAGTAGGAACTAAAATAATTTTATGGTTGGGGATCACCACAATATGAGGAACTGTATTAAGGGGTTGTGGCATTAAGAAGGGTGAGAAACACTGTGCTAGGTCATTTCCACACATGGACCGCATCCCTATTTTCTGACATTGCTTTTTTCAACTCATCTGAACGCTGAATCAAAATGGTGATTTCATAATACACTGTTAAATTATCTGGCAATTAATGTCTATATGCATAATATGCTTCTACATTTCAAAATTCCTTTTGCAAAAGTCATCTGCAACTTTAACAAAAAGCTTCTGCCTTCTATCTCTATTTGTTTTCACAACAACATTGTCTTGATGAATTTCTCCCTAACCCCATACATTTTTCTTAGTCACATGCTAGTTAACATGGAGAACAAACAGGACCCATACTGCTTCTATGATTCTGTAGTATTATTTTTTCAAAATAATCTATAAACAGAGAATCAACACTGTGTTTCCACTCAGTGCTTAATATAGTATGCAATTTCTCTGTATAAGGCATTCAGGCTCTGTCTAGCCAAGATCAGCTGCTGTTGAATTAGACGTTTACTCCTTGTAGTTTGTGCCTCCAATTGCTACCTGTGACACTACTGATAACTCACCCACCAACTGTTTGTTTTTTATTTGTTCAGTTGTTTCCGACTCTTTGTGACCTCATGGACCAGACCACGCCAGAGCTCCCTGCCGGCCAATGCCACCCCCAGCTCCTTCAAGGCCAAGCCAGTCACTTCAAGGATCTCATCCATCCGTCTTGCCCTTAGTTGGCCCCTCTTCCTTTTTTCCCCATTTTCCCCAGTGCCATTGTCTTCTCCAAGCTCGCCTGTCTTCTCATGATGTGTCCAAAGTATTTCATCTTTGCCTCTAATATCCTTCCCTCCAATGAGCAGCCGGGCTTTCTTTCCTGGAGTATGGATGGGCTGGATCTTCTTGCGGTCCAAGGTACTCTCAGAACTTTCCTCCAATACCACAGTTCAAAAGTGTCTATCTTCCTTCGCTCAGCCTTCCCTATGGTCCAGCTCTCGCGTCCAAAAGTTACTACGGAGAATACCACTGCTTTAACGATGCAGATCTTCATTGCCGGTGTGATGTCTCTACTCTTCGCTATTTTATCCAGACTGGTCATTGCTCTCCTTCCAAAAAGTAAACGTCTTCTGATTTCCTGGTTGCAGTCTGCATCTGCAGTAATCTTCGCACCTAGAAATACAAAGTCTATCACCGTCTCCATGTTTTCTCCTCTATTTGCCAGTTATCAATCATTTATCAATCCCCCTAACTATATTTATTCTTAATGATTAATCAAGGCAGAATAGATGGGAAATTTAGACCATTCCTTGGTCACTTTTTTTGCACATTACAACACTGCCTTAAATCGGTTCTCAGAGGAAGCATTTACCTCATTTTCATGTGGACTCCCCACCACATAAAAGAAAAGATCAATGCTGCTTTTATAGACAATGGTCAGTCCTTCCAAGAAAGCAATCTCACCTGAGGAGAAATTTCAAAAGAGAGAAAACAAGGGGGTTATTAAAGGGACAAGGGAAAGGTCTTGCAACTCCAAGTTTTATTTCTTTTGCTGCTAAATCCACTTCTGGTTTGCTTTTTTACTTCAAGACATACAACTTTGCCCATGTTGCAGCTTAAAAGCAAGCAGAACTAGAATGAGGATTGTGCACTGCGGCTTCCATAATGCCTGAACATTGAAATAACTTGAGCTGTAGGCCAAATAATATCTAGAGGGTCAAAATTTCCCACCCTTGGAGTCTTTTTTGGGCAGAAAGGCTGGAAATGGGAGGCCAAGTGGGTGCTTCTCAGAAGGCAGGATGATGGGTGTGAAGGAGCCATGTACTCACTATCAGTCTTGTGGGTTTTGTTGAAGACATTTCTCTCAAAACTCTTCTGTTCTTTCGTGGATGGAAATGTATCATCATAATACTGTGAATAATTAAAGCAAGAGATTTGAGAGATAGATGAGACAATATAGGAGGTCAATGCATTAGTCTGTGTTTGGAAGTCCCATAAACACCAAAAAAATTACAGAGGGCTATATTATCTCACTTGCTATAACGTAGCTGTCTGGATTCAGCTTTCTCACTAAACACAGCAATAAAACACCCTGTGTCTCTCTACGTGGAAATAAGTCTCACTGTTCTTACTGAGGCTCACTCTATGGGGAAAATGTTTAGGATTGCACCCTTAGGCTCCTTCCATACAGCTGAATAAAATCCTGCATTATCTGCTTTGAACTGGGATATATGGCCATGTTGACTCAGATAACTCAGTTAAAAGCAGAAAATGTGGGTTATTACGCCTTGATATTCTGGGTTATATGGCTGTGTGGAAGGGGCCCTTAGAGAGCAAGCCGCATTGAGAAGAGTGGGATTTCACTCCAGGTAAACACAGATAAAATTCCATTCGAAAATGGAAAAGGAAGCTATAAAATGTTTATCTTAGGCCCCTTCTACACTGTCATATAACCTGGATAATGAAAGCAGATAATTCACATTATCTGCTTTGAACTGGATTATATATATTTTTAGTGTATGTTATGTAGTAGTATTTTGGTATGTGTTGTCGTGATTTGCTGTATACTGTCTTTTCCATGTTGTTGTTCACCGCCACGAGTCGCCCTAGGGCTGAGAGTGGCGGTCAATAAGTGCAAATAATAAATAATAAATAATAAATAAATAATAATATATATTCAATTCAAAGAAGATAATCTGGACTTTATATGGATGTGTAGAAGGGGCCTTTGAAGAAACAAATCCACAACTCAGGGCCCTTCCACAGACCCATATAACCCAGAATATCAAGACTGGAAATTACACAATATCTGCTTTGAACTGGATTATCTGAGTCCATACTGCCATATATTCCAGTTCAAAGCAGATATTGTGAGGTTTCCTGCCTTGATATTCTGGGTTATATAGCTGTGTGAAAGGGCCCTCGGAGGCAACATGGAAAAGCAGCTGGACTGGCCTCTCTTTAGCTATATGAAGCAATGGCCTCAGGCAGAAAATTATCAGGAGCAGGAAAAGTCAAATGTGGGAAGAACATTGCTGTTCCATAAGCCTGCAGGCAGAAACCTGTCCAATTACCAAAGTTGAAGGGCCCTTCCAGACAGGCCCTATATCCCAACATCTGATCCCAACCAGGCCCGTAACCAGGATTTTGATTCAGGGGGAGCTGAGTTTGATTCGGGGGGGGGGGGCTGAGTCTGAGTGAAAGAGGGTCTACCCTAGCAAACCTTTTGTATCGTTACCCCAATACCCCCATGCATATGGAATATATTGAGCATGGTGATCAGATCATGATATGAATAAACATAACAGTTTAAATAATGCACTAGTAAGGCCTTCTCACGGACCACCATGAGAATTTGGGGAGGGGGGCTGAAGCCCCCAAAGCCCCCCCCCCCCCCCGGCTACATGCCTGATCCCAAGTTTTCTGTTTATTCCAGATTATCTGGCAGTGCCGACTCATATAATCCAGTTTAAAGCAGAAAACCTGGGATCAGATCCTGGGATATAGGGCCTGTCTGGAAGGGTCCGAAGAAACATATCAAAGTCAAATTGGTTGTCTCTGCATATGTGTAACTGAGGTTGAGAGGAAATCACAATCTTAGCTTTCAGCAGTAACAATATACTGTGCTGGCGCCGATGAACCAAACTGCTGGAGTCATTACAGCCATAGTAGCCAAGTATTTCTTTCTGGCTATCTAATCAATCTTGCCTTCTATATAGGCCCCAATAATAATAATAATAATAATAATAATAATAATAATAATAATAATAATTTTTTATTTATTTATTTATACCCCGCCACCATCTCCCCAAGGGGACTCGGGTGGCTTCCATGAGGCCAAGCCCAACAAATACAGCAAAGTAAATCTACAACATAAAAATACAACAGTAAAATATAATGAAAATAAAAATTACAAAAAAAAACAAATAAACACACAAGGCGGTATAAAATCACAATAATTGAATCACAATAATTGAACTCAGTGGGCAGGGCTGGTTGCAAGGATTAAAAGTTTAAAAACACTGGGTGAGAAAGCAATGTAATGTATCTGGAAGGAGGATCAGATGGGACGAAAACAATGGGGTTTAATTGTACTAGAGCATAGAATAAAGTAGGTCATTTTATGCAGGATTTGGTCAAGGTCAAGGATTGTTGTTCATTCATTGAAGGTACACTGGAACAGCCAAGTTTTCAGACTCTTCCTGAAGACTGCCAGGGTGGGAGGCTTGCCTAATTTCTCTGGGGAGTGAATTCCAGAGTCGAGGGGCTACCACAGAGAAGGCCCTCTCCCTCGTCCCCAAAAGTCACACTTGCGACGGGGACAGGAGAAAGAGAAGGGCCTCTTCAGAAGATCGAAGATTTCAGCAAAACTTAAATATGTGGCCCTCCAGGTGTTGGACTGCAATTCCCAGCAGTTCTAGTCAGCATAGCCAAGAGTGAGGAATGCTTCAAGCAGCAGCTCAACAACATCTTGTGGACATTCAGTTTTCACATTTGATGTGGAAGTAGCTTACCTTGGCCAAAAGTCTCTGCCCAAAGCTGTCCATGATAAAAATTGCCTTGACAGTGTAAAGGGATGGTTCCTAGGAACAAGATAAGTTGGGTTTTACTTGTGGCACAAAATAAGAAGGTACAAACAATAGTCTCTACCCACAAGAAAAATGAAGCCTATGAAATATCCAACTTATAATATGAACACCAGTAGTGTAGGCTGCATTTTACTGGAAGAAACTGACAAAATCAGCTCTTAGCATTCCTTGCTGATGAAATTAAACTAGTCACAATACATCAACAGGTGACTAGAAGGCACACAAATACACAAAAACTAACATCATGTCATTTGCAATTTTTGGCTGGTTTTCAGATGGCTTGGTGGGGGGGAGGCTTGATTGTTGGAAATAGCAACCATCTACAAGCCTCCTATACTAGTTATTTGTGATGTATATAATTGCGATTTCTTACTATATTGTATAGCATAGTGGGTTAAACCACTGAGCTGCTGAACTTGTTGACCAAAAGGTTGGTGGTTCGAATCCGGGGAGCAGGGTGAGCTCTGACTGTTATTCCTAGCTTCTGCCAACCTAGCAGTTTAAAAACATGCAAATGTGAGTAGATCAATGGGTACCACTCCGGTGGGAAGGTAACAGCACTCCATGCAGTCATACTGGCCACATGACCTTGGAGGTTTCTATGGACAATGCCGGCTCTTTGGCTTAGAAATTGAGATGACCACCAACCCCCAGAGTCGGACACGATTGGACTTAATGTCAGGGGAAAACCTTTAACCTTTACTACTATATCGTATGCATATATTGATATGCAGTTTCCTCTTAACTCTATTTTGTTTGAGGTTCCAGAAGGGACTGCAAACAATGGGACCAGATCTGGGACTATTCAGACTGAGAGTCCATTTTAGAAGCTAGTTTGCATCAGAAGCAGCATAGTTTAGAAGTCAGTCAGTACAATTTATGAAGTCAGCAGTGTTAGTATGCAATTGGTAGTGTCAGTATGCTGCAGTGCATAGTCAGTGTTCAGTAATATATTAGACTAAAGAGAGTGTTAGTCTGTATGCAACAGAGAAGAGACTAAAACAGTGCTTTAGAGAACTTATTGTTTAAACTTTCAGCCGATAAGAAATGCACCTGTATGCTGAATACATGAAATTTTTAAGTAAACCAACTATGTTATTTTTTAATTAAGACTACTTATTTTTGATCTTTTTTTAACATGATTTAAAAGCAATATATTTTATGGGAAAGTGTATGTTTTTTGGGCAACAACACTTCTGAAGATCTGCTATATATTTTGTGCATTGGTATATCTTGTTCCTATAAGTTCAGAAAGATAACAAGGTATATCAGTCTAACAAGTGAGAAACCTAATTTGCCTTATATGAATGCTAGTGGATATTTACTATTAAGTAGAAGATTCATTCAAACGAGTATTTAACTCTTCTCAGGAAGATCATATTTTACAAAAGGTTATCATTATTCCAAATAGTGTGAATGCCAATTAATCTCCAAAAAGATCGTGCTTCCAATATGCTGTGGAGATTCCTGGTTTTCCAAAAGGTTATGATCTCTAAAAGGTCAAGTCTTTCCAAAATAAGAAAACTCACTTTGTTTTAAGCTGGTTTGTATAGTTCAGAGCCTGACAACCAGCCTTGAACTTTTTTTGATGGAGAGGAGGCAGCTGAACAATCGAGGATTTCATGGGATTCCTTTAAAAGATTGAAGAATGAGATTGGAATATACCTTTATTAATGATTTAGATGAAGGGTTAGAAGGCATGATAATCAAGTTTGCACAAATTGGGAGGGATAGCCAATACTCCAGAGGACAGGAGCAGATTTCAAAATGATCTTGACAGATTAGAGAGATGGGCCAAAACTAACAAAATGAAGTTCAACAGTGACAAATGCAAGATACTCCACTTTGGCAGAAAAAACAAATGCAAAGATACAGAATGGGGGACGCCTGGCTCGAGAGCAGTACGTGTGAAAAAGATCTTGGAGTTCTTGTGGACAACAAGTTAAACATGAGCCAACAATGTGATGTGGTGGCAAAAAAAGCCAATGGGATTTTGGCCTGCATCAATAGGAGCATAGTGTCTAGATCTAGGGAAGTAATGCTACCCCTCTATCTGCTTTGGTTAGACCACACCTGGAATATTGTGTCCAATTCTGGGTACCACAATTGAAGAGATATTGACAAGCTGGAATGTGTCCAGAGGAGGGCGACTAAAATGATCAAAGGTCTGGAGAATAAGCCCCTATGAGGAGCGCTTAAGGAGCTGGGCATGTTTAGCCTGAAGAAGAGAAGGCTGAGAGGAGATATGATAGCCATGTATAAATATGGAGAGGAAGCCACAGGGAGGAGGGAGCAAGCTTGTTTGCTGCTTCCTTGGAGACTAGGATGCAGAACAATGGTTCAAACTACAAGAAAGGAGATTTCATCTGAACATTAGGAAGAACTTCCACACTATGAGAGCCATTCAGCAGTGGAACTCTCTGCCCCGGAGTGTGGTGGAGGCTCCTTCTTTGGAGGCTTTTAAACAAAGTCTGGATGGCCATCTGTCAGGGGTGCTTTGAATGCTATATTCCTGCTTCTTGGCAGGGGGTTGGACTGGATGGCCCATGAGGTCTCTTCCAACTCTATGATTCTATGCTTCTACCTTCCCTACCTACATTACAACCTTTCTTTCCCACTGATTCCAATGTCCAGGCTGTGTCTTTACTTGTACAGCTAAGTGGCACCAAGAAAAAGAAGATATCAGTAAGTCTAAAAATTTTACCAATACACAAGACAACTTTAGAACAAAATTCCAGAAAGGAGATCGATCTCCTACAACAATACATGAGGAACGTGCCTTTCAGAAATCAAATTAAATATAATGTTAAATATAATGTAATGCAAGAGAAGGTGGCGAGACTATACAGAAGATCTGTATAGGAAGGATAATAATATCGAGGATAGTTTTGACGGTGTGGTGAGTGAATTAGAACCAGACATCCTGAGGAGTGAGGTTGAATGGGCCTTAAGAAGCATTGCTAACAACAAGGCAGCAGGAGATGATGGGATCTCAGCTGAACTGTTTAAAATCTTGAAAGGTGATGCTGTCAAGGTGATGCATGCCATATGCCAGCAAATATGGAAAACACAAGAATGGCCATCAGACTGGAAAAAATCAACTTATATCCCCATACCAAAAAAGGGAAATGCGAAAGACTGCTCAAACTTCCGTACGTGGCCCTTATTTCTCATGCCAGTAAGGTAATGCTCAAGATCCTGCAAGGAAGACTCCAGCAATACATGGAGCGAGAGTTGCCAGATGTTCAAGCTGGGTTTAGAAAAGGCAGAGGAACGAGAGACCAGATTGCCAATATACGCTGGATAATGGAGAAAGGCAGGGAGTTTCAGAAAAACATCTACTTCTGCTTCATTGACTATTCTAAAGCCTTTGACTGTGTGGATCATAATAAATTGTGGCAAGTTCTTGGTGGGATGGGCATCCCAAGCCACATTGTCTCTCTCCTGAGGAATCTGTACAAGGACCAAGTAGCAACAGTCAGAACTGACCACGGAACAACAGACTGGTTCAAGATTGGGAAAGGCGTACGGCAAGGCTGCATCCTCTCACCCAACCTTTTTAACTTGTATGCAGAACACATCATGCGATGTGCGGGGCTTGATGAATGCAAGGCTGGGGTTAAGATTGCTGGAAGAAACATTAACAACCTCAGATATGCAGATGACACCACTCTGATGGCCGAAAGTGAGGAGGAGCTGAGGAGCCTTCTAATCAAGGTGAAAGAAGAAAGCGCAAAAGCTGGGTTGCAGCTAAACATAAAAAAAAACCCAAGATTATGGCAACAAGAATGATTGACAATTGGGAAATAGAGGGAGAAAATGTGGAGGCCGTGACAGACTTTGTATTTCTAGGTGCAAAGATTACTGCAGATGCAGACTGTGGCCAGGAAATCAGAAGACGCTTACTTCTTGGGAGGAGAGCAATGTCCAATCTCGATAAAATAGTAAAGGGTAGAGACATCACACTGGCAACAAAGATCCGCATAGTCAAAGCAATGGTATTCCCTGTAGTAACCTATGGATGTGAGAGCTGGACCTTAGGGAAGGCTGAGTGAAGGAAGATAGATGCTTTTGAACTGTGGTGTTGGAGGAAAGTTCTGAGAGTGCCTTGGACTGCGAGAAGATCCAACCAGTCCATCCTCCAGGAAATAAAGCCCGACTGCTCATTGGAGGGAAGGATACTAGAGACAAAGTTGAAGTACTTTGGCCACATCATGAGGAGACAGCAAAGCCTAGAGAAGACAATTATGCTGGGGAAAGTGGAAGGCAAAAGGAAGAGGGGCCGACCAAGGGCAAGATGGATGGATGGCAACCTTGAAGTGACTGGACTGACCTTGAAGGAGCTGGGGGTGGTGACGGCCGACAGGGAGCTCTGTCATGGTCTGGTCTATGAGGTCACGAAGAGTCGGAGATGACTGAACGAATGAACTACAACACAATGCTTGGTAAAGTAGAAAGCCGCAGGAAAAAAAGGAAGAGTACATGCAAAGGTGTTGCCATGGCAGGTGGAAGGACAGGAGTTTTGCCCTCTTACAATTTTCTGCTAGATCTCAAATTTCTAGCACTGCAAAGAGTGAGACACTGAAAATTGTTCATCTCTAGGGCTCTTACATTTATTGTGTTTGCGTTGCCTTGATAACTTTGCCCACCCCTTTTCTCTGGATGTCTACAACATATTTCAAAACATCCAACTGAAGTTTTAAATTACTGCAATGCTAGAATTTTTAGAACTGAAGAAAACTGCCATTCATTCCCCACATCCTTCTGCCTGACACAGGTGGATCGATAGGCATGTTTAAATATTTGATGACATGTCACATTGAGGATGGAGCAAGGTTGTTTTCTGCTGCTCTAGAGACCAGGACAGGAAGCAATGGATTTAACCTGAAAGGAAAAAGAGATCCCACCTAAACATTAGGGGGGAAATTCTGATGGTAAGAGCTGCTCAACAGTGGGATATGCAACTGGGAGTGTTTAAGCAGAGGCTGGTAGGCCATCTGTTAGGAGTGCTTTGATTGTGTGCCCCTGCATGGCAGGTATATAGCCCCCCCCCCCCCCGAAATTCTCTGGGTGGCCTGCGAAAAGGCCTTACTGGTACATTATTTAAACTGTTATGTTTATTCATATCATGATCTGATCACCATACTCAATATATCCCATATGCATGGGGGTATTGGGGTAATGATACAAAAGGTTTGTTAGGGTAGACCCTCTTTCACTCAGACTCACCCCCCCCCCCCCGATTCAAATTCAGACCCTCCCGTATCCCAATTCTGTCATTGGTGGGGTTCAGAATGCTCTTTGATTGTAGGTGAACTCTAAATCCCAGTAACTACAACTCCCAAATGTCAAGGTCTATTTCCTTCAAACTCCATCTGTGTTCATATTTAGGCATATGGAATATTTGTGTCAAGTTTGGTCCAGATCCATCATTGTTTGAGTCCACAGTGCTCTCTGGATGTAGGTGAACTACAACTCCCAGACTCAAGATCAATGCCCACCAAACCCTTCCAGGAAAATACCATGACATTTGGGAGTTGTAATGGCTGGGATTTATAGTTCACCTACAATCAAAGAGCATTCTGAACTCTACCAACCATGAAATTGAACCAAACTTGGCACACAGAACTCCCATGACCAACAGAAAATACTGGAAGGGTTGGTGGGCATTGACCTTGAGTTTTGGAGTTGTAGTTCACCTACATCCAGAGAGCACTGCGGGCTCAAACAATGATGGATCTAGACTAGTGGTTCTCAACCTGTGGGTCCCCAGGTGTTTTGGCCTACAACTCCCAGAAATCCCAGCCAGTTTACCAGCTGTTAGGATTTCTGGGAGTTGAAGGCCAAAACATCTGGGGACCCCAGGTTGAGAACCACTGATCTAGACCAAACTTGGCATGGATACTCAATATGGCCAAATGTGAACACTGGTGGAGTTTTTTTTGGCTGACTTTGTCATTTGGGAGTTGTAGTTGCTGGGATTTATAGTTCACCTACACTCAAAGAGCATTCTGAACTCCACCAATGATGAAATTGAACCAAACTTGGCACACAGAACTCCCACGACCAACAGAAAATACTGGAAGGGTTTGGTGGGCATTGACCTTGAGTTTGGGAGTTGTAGTTCACCTACATTCAGAGAACACTGTGGACTCAAACAATGATGGATCTGGACCAAACTTGACATGGCTACTCAATATGCCCAAATGTGAACACTGGTGGAGTTTGGGGAAAATAGACCTCGTCATTTGGGAGTTGTAGTTGCTGGGATTTATAGTTCACCTACAATCAAAGAGCATTCTGAACTCCATTAACTATGAAATTGAGCCAAACTTTTCACACAGACCTCCCATGACCAACAGAAAATACTGGATGAGCTTGGTGGGCATTGACCTAGAGTTTTGGAGTTGTAGTTCACCTACATCCAGAGAGCACTGTGGACTCAAATATTAATAGATCTAGACCAAACTTGGCATGGATACTCAATATGCCCAAATGTGAACACTGGTGGAGTTTGGGGGAGAAAGACCTTGACATTATGGAGCTGTAACTTCTGGGATTTATAGTTCACCTACAATCAAAGAGCATTCTGAACCCCACCAACGATCCAAACTTCTCATACAGAACCCCTATGACCAACAAAAAATACTGTGTTTTCTGATGGTTTTGGCGACCCCTCTGACGCCCCCTCACGACCCTCCCCCAGGGGTCCTGACCCCTAGGTTGAGAAACGCTGATCAGCAGGAAGATTGACACCACTTTAATGTCTCAATGCTATGGAATCCCAGGAGTTGTCCTTTTTGCATAGTCTTTCGCCTTCTCCAGGATTCCATAGCCAGGGCAGTTCAAGTGCTGTCAAACCGCGTTAAGTCTATAGTACAGATACACCCTAGGTACCACGCAGGAACTTTTTGGGGAGCCCCTCGGCTGGGTGGCTTGTGCGCAGGGCAGCTAAGGCTCCCTTCTCTGTGTGATCCGCTCGCCTGGCATCCCACCCACTCCTCGCCCCACGCGCAATGCCGTACCAGCCTGTGCCCCGCGGGGATGTCCATGGCTGCCCCGCCGCCGGGCCTGGGATCGGGGGGCCCGGGGTGGTCGTGCTGACGTGGCCGGGCCTCTGCCTTTTGCATCGCGGCTCTCTCTGGCGGCTCCGTCCGGGCTGGAGCTGCTCCGCCCCGAAAGGGAAGGCATTGGGTGGGCTGCGAAGCTCCCCCTCCGACAGCGTGGGCTCCAATGGAGGCAGGGAGAAAGGAAGGCAGGCTCTCGCCTAGGAAAAAAGGCCTGCCACGGGCGGGATTTTGTCAGGGGAAAGCAGGCAGCGCCCCTTTTTCCCCCCCTAAAACAATAACAACAATAATCCTTAACGCCTTTGTTGATGTGCGCCATCAGGTCACGAATGAATGCACTTTGACCCTGCTTTCACTGCCATGCCCCCATGCTTGAATCATGGGAGTTGTAGTTTGACAAGTTGTCGTTTTAGACAAGGCCTGTAGCCCTTTTTGGAAGAAGAAAAAGAGGGTGCTCACCAGAGTAATGGATTCAGAGTTCAGGAAAAGAAGAGGTTCCACCTAAACGTCCATCACCACTCAAGCAGGGAGCTTTGAGATGGTTGAAGAGAAGATCTCAGAAGCTTTAGGTCAGGGGTCCTCAAACTATGGCCCGGGGGCCAAATACAGCCCTCCAAGGTCATTTACCCGGCCCTCGCTCAGGGTCAACCTAAGTCTGAAACGACTTGAAAGCACCCAACAACAACAACAATCCTATCTCATCAGCCTACAGACCAATCTAAAGCTACAGACCAATCTCCCTGTTGTGCCACCTCTACAAAGTTCTGGAGAGACTTATTTTGCATAGAATTATGGAAAATATAGACCCCTGTCTGATCCCACAGCAAGCTGGCTTCAGAAAAGGCAAAAGCTGCACATCGCAAGTGCTGAACCTGACTCAGCACATAGAAGATGGCTTTGAAAGGCAGCAGATCACAGGAGCTGTCTTCATATTTATTTATTTATTTATTTATTTGCTTTATTTTTATACCGCATTTTTCAGCCTAATTCGGCGACTCAATGCGGTTTACAATGCAATTTATATAACAATAACAATTAGTTAAAACACAACATACACGACAGACAATACAAGACAACACAACATAGTCATCAACGCCTCAGTAAAAATCAGATTCCGTTCTCATAATCCTTCTACCATTCCTTTGTTCATTTATACCGTCTTCATGAGTTCAGTTGCCTTGTTGGTCGAACGCTTGTTCATAGAGCCACGTCTTGACCTTCCTCCGGAACTCCAGCAACGAAGGGGCCTGCCTGATGTCTACGGGTAGGGCATTCCATAGCCGAGGGGCCACCACCGAGAAGGCCCTGTCCCTCGTCCCCGCCAGCCCGCCTGCAACGCAGGCGGGACCGAGAGCAGGGCCTCCCCGGACGATCTTAACGTCCTCGTCGGTTCATAGGTGGAGATGCGTTCGGAGAGGTAAGCAGGGCCGGAACCGTTTAGGGCTTTATAGGCTAAAGCCAGCACCTTGAATTGTGCCCGGTAGCGGATTGGCAGCCAGTGGAGCTGGCTCAGCAGAGGAGTGGTATGCTCCCTGAGTGCCGCTCCCGTTAGCAACCTGGCTGCCGAGCGCTGGACCATCTGAAGCTTCCAGGCAGTCTTCAAGGGCAACCCCACGTAGAGCGCGTTGCAGTAATCAATCCGGGATGTAACCAGAGCGTGGACTACCGTGGCCAAGTCAGACTTCCCAAGGTACGGGCGCAACTGGCGCACAAGTTTGAGTTGTGCAAATGCTCCCCTGGACACCGCCGAAACTTGGGGTTCCAAGCTTAGCAAAGAGTCCAGGATCACACCCAAGCTGCGAACCTGCGTCTTCAGGGGGAGTGTAACCCCGTCTGTGAACCACTGCCTCCTCCTGAGAAAAATGTATAATATCACAAAGGACTACCATCTCACCCGCCTCATAGGAAACCTGCTACAAAACAGGAGCTTTTTTGTTGAGTTCCAGGGCCAGAGAAGCAGATGGCGAAAACAGAAGAACGGCCTGCCTCAGGGGAGCGTGCTTGCTCCATCCATGTTCAACATCTACACAAATGACCAGCCACTGCCAGAAGGGACAGAGAGTTTCATCTATGCTGATGATCATGCCATTACTGCTCAAGCAGGGAGCTTTGAGATGGTTGAACAGAAGCTCTCCGAAGCTCTAGGTGCTCTTACTGCCTATTACAGGGAAAACCAGCTGATCCCTAATCCATCTAAAACACAGACATGTGCCTTTCACCTTAAGAACAGACAAGCATCCCGAGCTCTGAGGATTACCTGGGAAGGAATCCCACTGGAGCATTGCAGCGCACCCAAATACCTGGGAGTCACTTTGGACCGTGCTCTTACCTACAAAAAGCACTGCCTAAACATCAAGCAAAAAGTGGGTGCTAGAAACAATATCATACGAAAGCTGACTGGCACAACCTGGGGATCACAACCAGACACAGTGAAGACATCTGCCCTTGCGCTATGCTACTCTGCTGCTGAGTATGCATGCCCAGTGTGGAACACATCTCACCACACTAAAACAGTGGATGTGGCTCTTAATGAGACATGCCGCATTATCACAGGGTGTCTGCGCCCTACACCACTGGAGAAATTACACTGCTTAGCCGGTATTGCACCACCTGACATCCGCCGGGAAGTAGCAGCCAATAGTGAAAGGACCAAGGCAGAGACATCTCCAGCTCATCCCCTGTTTGGGTATCATCCAGCACCTCAACGACTTAAATCAAGACATAGTTTTCTTAGATCTACAGAGACACTCGCTGGAACACCCCAGCAAGCAAGAGTCCAAAAGTGGCAGGCCCAAACCCAGCACCTCAATCCATGGGTGATACCAGATGAGAGACTCCCCCATGAGCACACAGAAGACTTGGAAGGCGCTGAACAGACTGCGCTCTGGCACCACGAGATGCAGAGCCAATCTTAAGAAATGGGGCTACAGGGTGGAATCCTTGGCATGCGAGTGCGGAGAAGAACAAACCACTGACCACCTGCTGCAATGCACCCTGAGCCCTGCCACATGCACAAGGGAGGACCTTCTTGCGGCAACATCGGAGGCACTCCAATTGGCCAGATACTGGTCAAAGGACATTTAATCAGCTACCAAGTTTGCAAAATCTGTGTGTTTTTTTTCTTTTTCTTTTTAATCTGTGTGTTTGTTTTGTTCTGTTAGAATTGTAATACAATGGTATGGTTGCTGATGACACGATAAATAAATAAATAAATAAATAAATAAACCAGAGTAATGAATTCAGAGTTCAGGAAAAGAAGAGGTTCCATCTAAACGTCCATCACCACTCAAGCAGGGAGCTTTGAGATAGTTGAAGAGAAGCTCTCAGAAGCTTTAGGTCAGGAGTCCTCAAACTATTATTATTATTATTATTATCTTTATTTGTACCCTGCTAGCATCTCCCGAAGGACTCGATGCGGCTTACAAAGGCCAAGGCCACAATAAAACAACAATATAACAATTACATATAAACCAAAAGCAAATCAAAAACATTAAAGCAATAACAGTAAACAGTAAAAACAAACTATGGCCCCGGGGGCCGAATACAGCCCTCCAAGGTCATTTACCCAGCCCTTGCTCAGGGTCAACCTAAGTCTGAAACGACTTGAAAGCACACAACAACAACAATCCTATCTCATCAGCCAAAAGCAGGCCCACACTTCCCATTGAAATACTAATAAGTTTACATTTGTTAAAATTGTTCATTTTAATTATTGTATTGTTTTGAAGTGTTTTTTGCACTACAAATAAAATATGTGCAGTGTGCATAGGAATTCAATCATGCTTTTTTCAAATTATAATCTGGCTCTCCAACAGTTTGAGGGATTGTGACCTGGCCCTCTGTTTATAAAGTTTGTATATTTTCAAACTGCTAGGTTGGCAGAGGCTGGGGAGAACAGCAGGAACTCATGACGCTCTCCGGATTCGAACCTGCGACCTTTCAGTCTGCAAGTTCAGCGGCTCAGCATTTTAACCCCCTGCGCCACCAGGGGCTCAATTCTTACTGCCTACAATAGGGAAACCAGCTGATTCCTTATCCATATCAAACACAGATGTGTGCTTTTCATCTTAAGAACAGACAAGCATCTCGAGCTCTGAGGTTTATCTGGGAAGGAATCCCACTGGAGCATTGCAGCACACTCAAATACCTGAGGGTTACCCTGGACCATTCCCTGACAGACAGACCCTCTATCCCAGGATCTGATCCCAGGTTTTCTGTTTGAAACTGGATTATATGAGTCCACACTGCCAGTATAAACAGAAAACCAGGGATCAGATTCTGGGATAGATATCATGTCAGATAATCCACAATATCTGCTTTGAATGTTGAAGATGTAATCTAGTTCAATGTGGATTTTCTACAGCTGTGTGGAAGGGGCCTATATTTCAGAGGAAGGAACTGGCCAACCCACTTCTGAGTATCTCTATCTATCTATCTATCTATCTATCTATCTATCTATCTATCTATCTATCATCTATCAATGCTCTGTGCATAATGAGTACCTTAAAAACAAAAGAACCAATGAACGAAATCACACCAAATTTGGCAACAAAATGTCTCACAACACAAGGAGTGACCATCACTCAAAAAATTATGATTTTGTCATTTGGGAGTTGTAGTTGCTGGGATTTATAGTTCACCTACAATCAAAGAGCATTCTGAACTGCATCAACAATGGAATTGAACCAAACTTGGCACACAGAACTCCCATGACCAACAGAAAATACTGGAAGGGTTTGGTGGGCATTGATCTAGAGTTTGGGAGTTGTAGTTCACCTACATCCAGAGAGCACTGAAGGATCTAGACCAAACTTGGCAGGAATATTCCAAATACCCAAATATGAACACAGATGGAGTTTGGGGGAAATAGACCTTGACATTTGGGAGTTGTAGTCACTGGGATTTATAGTTCACCTACAATCAAAGAGCATTCTGAACCCCACGAACGACAGAATTGGGGCAAACTTCCCACACAGAAACCTCATGACTTAAGACCATCCAGTCCAACTCCCTTCATTAGGACAAGAAAACATAATCAAAGTCCTCCTGACAAAGACCCATCCAGCCATAGCTATAGATATAGATAGACAGAAAGATATTATTCATACACAGAGTGATATACTATCATAGATTTGAAAGGGACCCTTAAAGAAGGATAATGATATGTTGCATGTTCCAGGGTGGGCAAACCAGACACTCTCCACATCAACACAGCAAGAAATACTGTTTACCCACAAGCATAAAGAAATTGCATATATTAAGA